AATGTTCTTGTCACAGACTGGGAGGGACCCATTAGAGAGAATAAAGAATAAGTGACTCCCTGGATGGCTACCTCATGGACACTTTTAGATATGGAGCAATCTGTTGCTTCATCAGCACTGTTGCTAAACTGAGAATCAGAAAGGTGAGCAGTATCTGTTTCGACCTTCATGGTACTAAGGCCTTGGGGCCAACATTATTATTGTTGTTGCACAGTTACAGAAATTGAGACCCAGAGATCACTGCCTTCCCAGTGGTGGCTCATTGGCAGGACTTTCATCCTGATGTCACTCTCCTGTCTTGGTCCATCAGATGTAATATGCCTCACAGACAGCATTGCAACTGTTTCAGTAAGAAAACAGCTGTCCTAAGGGATGTTCCGTGTGAAGGTTTGCCTTGAGCACATCTTTGGTGATGGAATACTTGGTTCTGCATTGTATCACAGATGCACGCTCACAAACTGGCTCCCGTGGCAATGGACTCTATAACCAACCTGTGAGGCCCAACACGCTTTGGCCGCACCCACAGTTAAGACATTTCTATTCCGAAGACTATATTATAGTTTGAGGTATAGGGCCTGTCATTACAAACTGTTGGCTGTCACATATAAAGGAATACCTAGGACAGGACGTAGATCTTTCTAGAATCTTTGTGTATCCCTTCTTGAAGAAGTGCATGCTACTTATATACATGAGAGAATTAATAGTCATGAATAAACCGAATCAGGACACTTTGGGTTCAGTTTTATTTGTGACCACAGTGAGAGCTGATGCTATAAAACTGCACTGTGCAATATGAGAGCCATTAGCTCTCACATGTGGCTACTATGAATTGAAATGTGCTCTAAGTGTAAAATACATACTGGATTTTGAAATCTTCATGTGAAAACAAGATCGCAAAATATCTCATTTTTATATTAATTATATGTTGAAATGATACCATTTCTGGATATATTGGGTTAAACATGACATGGTATTAAAATTAACTTCACCTGTTCCTTTTTACTTTGTAGTATGATTACCGGAAAATTTTAAAATTCCGTATGTGGATCGCCACTTTCTACTGGAAAGTGATCTTATAGAACTCTAGTTTTATAAGAATCTTCTAACTATGAAAGCTTATTCAACCTCCGAGTCCCTCAAACCACCAGAAGCCTCGGCTGTTAGCAACAGCTTCCTTTAAAATCAACAGGAAGACATCAGTGTTCAAGCAAAAGAAATGTTTCCTGGCTTCTGAATTTGTCTTCCTTATTTTATTTTCTAATATTAGAAAAGATTTGAAAGAGGGGCGCCTGGGTGGCTCAGTCGTTAAGCGTCTGCCTTCAGCTCAGGTCATGATCCCAGGGTCCTGGGATCGAGTCCCGCATCGGGCTCCCTGCTAGGCGGGGAGCCTGCTTCTCTCCCTCTGCCTCTGCCTCTCTCTCTGACTTTCATGAATAAATAAATAAATAAGATTTAAAAAAAAAGAAGAAAAGATTTGAAAGAAAATACTTGTCATATCTTCCTCCCTTGGCTAACTCTTACACGCGCTTCAAGACGCTCCATGTCCTGGACTCTTGGAAGCCATCCCTCTCCACTGCAGTGGCCTGAAACTGAGCTGGGTGCTTCTGTTCTGTGCCTGCCAGAGCCTGACTGTCACCACTTGCTTGTTCCTTTACCCCATTTTCTATCAATTCCTTATGGTCAGAGATTATCCTTCATTTTTGTATTTCCAGTATCTAACACAGTGCCAGGGAACATTACACAATGTCTGTTGACTAATTCCTTAATTGAAGAATGAATGAGCACAAATAATTCTTTAGTTGGAATTGTTATTTCAGAATTACTAATAATAAGAGCTGACATTTGATTGACACTTCACGGAAGTTTCATTAGTTAATCTTCACAAAAGTATTTGGGGGAAAATCCTTCCTCACTAGAAACATTACATTTTAGTAACCACAGTTCTTCATAATGATTCCCCCAGCCAGTCAGGAGTACCCTGAAAACTATATTGATGAATATAGATTGCTGTGTGAAAATGATAAAGTAACAATTTATTTGTATTTGTATGTCATAAACCAACTAAGATGATGGCAGAGAGGATATTAGCAATATACATGACGTGTTCCTTGGGGATGGAGAAGGTGCCTACAGAAAAAGTCATCTGTTGTGTTTGGGGTGCCATATAATTTAAAAGTTAATGAGGGGGCGCCTGCGTGGCTCAGTTGTTTAAGCATGACTTAGGCTCAGGTCATGATCTCAGGGTCATGAGATCAAGTCCCACATCAGGCTCCAAGCCCAGGGTGGAGCCTGCTTGAGATTCTCTCTCTCCCTCTGCCCCACCCCTCACCACTCACATGTGCACTCTCTCTCTCTAAAAAAAAAAAAGTTAATGGGGAGTGCTCTAATATTTATTCTGGCACAAAAAGCATAAACTGGACTGTTTGGGACAAATCAGGATATATGTTCACCCTAGTTATATTAAGTAAGAACCATTTGTCAAGCTAAGTGGCCTATGATACAGAAAGGATGGATGGGCTCTCCCCAGGTTGATGGGATGGAAGAGACCCTCATTGTGAATGGAAGACCTGAGACGAGACTGGCAGACTCCCAACTATGTCTCCGGATGGCCCGACTATGCCCTACTGAGTGGAGGAAACTTTTCAGCTGGTCCCTGCAGATGGAGCCAACTTCATGCACTCTGTGGGCAGAGGTCCGATCACCTGCTCATCAGCTCACAAACCCAGAATGCTGCTTGGAAGGACCCATTCGGTCAGTTGTAGGGAGATGGCTTCTTTGACCAATGCCAACCGAGCTAACACCTTCCTCTTGCTTCCGTGCTCTTCATCAAAGTGGTTGGGAACTCCAGTGGAGGGGCTATAGCTCTGCAGCTCATTGATGCCACATGCCTTTGTCATTGTTTCTAGTGTGTTCCTACTAGCCTTGGAGAAAAATGAAAAGCTACATTATCTCGATAAGAGCTTTTGATGAAAACCACTGCATATACTCTTATTTGTTTGAGAGATGAGGAAACAGTCGTAGAGATACGAAGACATCTGCCAGTAGTGCGAACCAGTGAGGAGATGTCTGAATCCCAGTCTGGGGCACTTCCCACTGCAACTCACGGTTTCATGGAAACACCCCACATGAAGACTGCCCTGCCTTCGTTTAACTTGCAGATGAGCTTGAAATTTGCAAGAGACAAAAACCTGACATTGGCTCTTCCTCTGCTGCAGGTATGGTCACCTCGGGCCATTTTTTTGGCCAGTTCTCTTTGAGTCAATGGGACTCTGTGCACCTGACTACTACAGCAAATCTCACAGATGCCTGTGTTGCTCCAGAGCTCCATGGACGCCGACTGGCATTATTTAAGTGTTCATTCAAAATCTCCTTTAGGGTGACTTCTGTGCACCTGAAGGGCCCGTTCAAGAAGCCCAGCAAATGGCTGAAGACAGATTTTTCAGCCAGAGGAAAGAATTATTACCTTACCATCAGTCTAATGAAAACAGAGGTGAAATACCAACCTGCACCAGATAAACAGCACGCCAAGCCATCCATCACGCTCAGCCGCACTGAGCAGAACAGCCTAACTGATTCCACCCGACTTTCCTGCTTCACAGCATCGGAGAGCTGGGACCTTTTCCCACAAGTCCCTGTCAGATAAAGACCTGGACGGGAATCCTTTAGGTCATTCCCTCTCCCAATCTAAATGTTCTTTTCTCGATAGCCACAGACAGCAGTAGCTTCTTAGTGCCCCACTTCTCACTTGCATGCTCCAAGCTGGTGTTCCCGTCCAGCACCCGTTTTCTACCACTGGCTCCACTCAGCACCTCCAGAGGCAACTTTCTTTCTCAGGGCCAACCAGCCAATCATTAGCATAACCCATCATTCAATCTCAGTGCCTGCCCACTATCTAGCAGGCCCTGTGGGTATAGAGATGCAAGGCCCTGTCTTCTAGGAGCTCAGAGTCTAGGGGAGAAGATAGAAATCTTGCACATGTACAGACATTCTTTTACTTCTTGCATATATCATCACTCATTTTGCCTTAACAACATCCTGTGAAGTAGAGGAGGCTCTAGTAAATTCACCTTCAAGAAGAGGAAGCTATGACTTCAATACACGGAGTCACCCAAAGTCATAGATGGAAGCAACTTAGAGCTCTGAATATTTTTTGAATATGTAATTAGACTTCAGTCTACCAACCCCAGCTCAGTGATTTCCCTTCACTATATGAGACTTGTTTGATTCTCTTTCAGATTGCCCCTTTTCTTCTAGAAATCTAAAAATCAAGTCTTTTGTAGCATATACTAAGTCAGCCCCCATGGGAGGCCCTCCACCCAACCGTTACTCCTTATCATCCCCCTGCCCCGAAGTTAGTGCTTTGATAGTCTTAAGGAATCTTCAGAATTGCCAACTTGCGTCCTTAAATTGGGTAGCAGCTCCTGGGTGTGGCTCCTCCTAAACCTATAGCCTGAGGTAAGTATAAAAAATAAGGGTCCTGGTTCAAGATGCAGCTCTATTTTGTTCAGGATTCTCATCCCATGGGATCCTGAGCTTTCACTGTGCCCAAAGATCTGGGTCTCCTAGCAGAGCGATTCTGGCAGGAAAAGCATCATGCCTCCTGGTGACCGCACAGTAAGCTGATGGAACCAGGTGGTGGTGAATCATTTACATCAGCCAAACAGAAAGAACCCAGTGAAAACGGGATCGGCATTGTAATCAGTAACAGCCACTCATCACTCCCTTACCCAGGGCAGCACGGCAGAGAATTTCTGGATGGCAACAGAATATATAATCCATCCTTAATATGTGGTTCCTCGATTCTTCTATTGCATATGGCTTGCATCCAAAAATTCGTTTTGCGAGCATTCCAATGTTTGCATGCTAAATGCCACCAAGTCAAACTTAAATGTCGATTTTTCACTTTCTGAGTCTGTTTATTAGAAGCATAATGCATGTTTATAAGAAAAATTTCAACAGATATTTAAATGTATAATAAATTAAAAATCATCAACTTGTTTAAATACAACGGTATGTTTTTGGCTGGCAGGGCCAAGGAAGGCCAGAAAGCCAATTTTCTAGTTCCTAACTCAGCATCACTCACAAATATTTGGCCTTGTAAAAGAGATGTGACACCCTAATGAACCAAATCCTTACCTATGCCTTTACCTTTCAGAAGAAAAAATCCTTATGACCTTCACTGGCGGGATAATCACAGACCCACAACCAGGAAGTAAAATCCTTAAAGCAGGGACTATATTTATAAACCTCTTTGGGTTTTGCAAGCCGAGAGACACTTGAGAGGGACTGCTCTGAATGCCTGGCTCTATCTTTGCGATGGTGAATAAAAGAAGCAATGTACGCTTTGTTAACGATGGTCTTGTGAGGAACATGTTTAAAGCGCTCTAGCATGTTGTAAAATCATGTCTGTTGATCTCTGAAATAAGGAATCGTAACAGAAACAAAATTTAATATGAAATACATCAGTGGACTGCTGATGATTCATATAACACATGCACTAAGCGTATGTTAGCTTGTTTAATACCTGCAGCAATTCCACGATGTGTTAATAACTCCAGTGGACAAATGAAGAAACGGGATTAAGACTCTACATCTAGTCAGGGCAAAGCTACTCCTCGGACCCAGGTCTCTCAGAGATGGTCATACTCTCTAGCTAACTCACAAGAAACTGATGAATATGTGAAAAAATGTTGACTATCTGTAGCGGAGGATATCCCTTTCCAGGGAACAGAAATACCCTTTCTCCTATCCTCAACAACTCTTCCCTGGTATCACAGGATCTGAGAAGCTGTCATTATTTAGAAATCTGCAGAGCGAGACTGAATAGTATCAGAAGACGCTCCACGCAGACCATGGTAAGGACAGATGACACGTCAAGTCCCACGCACACACGCGGATGCACACACACATACATGCACGCGCACACAATCTCTGATGACTGGAGTGACTCCCCTCGTGTCTGGTGCACCTCTTCCAAGGGCACCCTCTTTAGCTTGGGTCGTGCTGTATTCCCAGACCGGGTAGGTTTTGCAAACGAATTTCTTAGTATGCTAATGAGTATGACTTAAAAAACAAAAGGTGGGGGTGGTGATGAAGTTTCTTGGTTTTAAAAACAAATGTTTGAGAGAAATGCAAACGTAAAACAAAGGGAAAAGGGCATTTGACCAGCTACCAAAGATTGTCTCAAACTGACTTGAGAAACTTCTTGCAGGACTTGGGCTCCTCGGGACACTGGGCTATCTTTCTCCTTTTTCCTCTGAACACTCTTCCCAAAAGGTAATGAAACATTGTGTCTCCTTCAATTAGATGCATTTATTTAAGTAGCTGAATGCTTGGCGGCAGCCTCTTGTCCTCTTCCAAGTCTCTCGGAGCCGTCTCGCCTTCCCTCCTCAAGTGCATCTATCATCCATTGATGTCCGTTGCCTCCTCACACTGACACGTAGTAGATGCTCACACTTTGGAGCAATAAGTTCATTTTACTGGAACCGTATCTGAACATATTAGCATCTCACCCACTGTGGCTGTTCCATAAAATGCCAAATGATAAGAAGAGCTGGGATTTGGGACTTTTCTTCTGCGGTTGTGAAACTTGGAAGCAATCCAGCTGTCAAGTCAAAGACAAACTTCACCTGTGCTCGTTCAGATCCATCACGCCTGCGAAACGGGAAGATAAGGTTACACCCAGTGAGGTGCTGAAACATGGGAAATCGAACCAACCCAAGGGCCGCTTTAATTAAAGCAGAGCTCGGCCGAGCGAGGCTTATCAGCAAGGGACCTGAGACTCCCCCAATGTGTGCAGCTCAGGATCAAACCCAGTCAGCCCTCACCCGTGGCTGAGAGGCACCAGAAGCCCCGTGTGAAGCACAACCTGAACTTGGCTGGCACCGGCCCAAACGCCTGCAACGGACTTTGATCATGTAGCCGTAAATGCCACAGGATTTCGGGCCAAACTGAAGCTCAGCGACTCTCATGAGCAATGACAAAAAGTGGAGATCAGAGAAAAGTAAGAAAGGGCCGAAACTTCAATCACATGCCAAGGACATAACGTTGTGTCGAGAAGCGGTCAACGCCTCCCAAACTGTGCCTGAGCCTCGGGACAGAACAGAAGCATCCAGATCTCCCTCATGGATATTTTGTCTTTTCACATTTCACATGGTCTTGTTATGAAGTTCTTGAGCACCTGTAAATAGCTTTTCCTATAGTACGATTTCTTCCTCTTGGGCATTTATACTCTCCCTGCCAGAGAATTCTGATGTGGTCTAGATTCTGGACAAACACGATTTGTTTCTCTCTGGTGTGACGGAGCTGAAACCGAGCCCTGCGGTGGGAAGGCTGTTCTCATGGCAAGAGTGCCGACTTTGAAAAAGACAGGATGTACATTCAGCCCTGATTTCTGTGTGCCTTTGGCTCAGGAGGCTCCGGGCGTGGGGTCCAAATGGCTGGCAACCGAGGGTAAGGGAAGGAAGGCCGGTGCACAGTGCGTGCAGGCGGAGCACGGGGGGTGGCTGGAGCCCCCCGGTGCGCTGAGTGACGAGCCGCGCCGCGGGCTGGGCCAGGGGTCCTGCTCGGCCGGGACCCGTGTGACCCCCACAGCTTAGGACCTCTGGAGTCTGTGGCTGTGGAGAGGGATTTCAAAAAAGAACTTTCTTCCGCTTGCGTTCCTTTTCCGGCAGGTCTAACACTCCTTCCCTGGGCTCAGAGTCACTGTGTGTTTCATTCGCTACGGTGCTGTCACCTGTAAAATAGTTACGTTCATTGCTAATTTTACCAGTGGTAGCCAAGAACAAGGCCCACAAAGAATTGGGTCAAAACAACAAGACCACCACAACTATTGTCTGCATCATTATCCCGCGATCATCATGCGGCTCCTCTGCCTTCCCCTGCGAAGGTCGATTCTACAACACAAATCTTGGGTAACTGAAGTCACCACTTTCCTGTTCTTTCAGCTCCAGGCATAAAGCTCCAGCAGAAACACGAGGCGGGGGGCGCCTGGGTGGCTCAGTTGGTTAAGCAGCTGCCTTCGGCTCAGGTCATGATCCCAGGGTCCTGGGATCGAGTCCCGCATCAGGCTCCCTGTTCAGCCGGGAGCCTGCTTCTCCCTCTTCCTCTGCCTCTCCCCCTGCTTGTGAAGTCTCTCTTTCTCTGTCAAATAAATAAATAAAATCTTTAAAAAAAAAAAAAAAGAAAAGAAACACGAGGCGGGGTCATATGCTCCTTGTGTCACGTATGGTCCTTCTGCAGGTTGCTCCAGACCCGCCGGGGGGTGCTAGCCTTGGTATCGTCTTACTCAACCAGCTTATGATAGCTGAGCTTTGTTCCATGTTGAATTATTAGCATTGTTTGAAGTCATTGAAATTGTCATTTAAAATAGTCTTTAAAGCAGAAAAGGACATAGGCTTGTCTCTCTGGGTCTCCCAGTCCAAAGTGCTTATATTATTAAGTAATAACAAGAACAAACAACAGTCCTATACCCATGTATTGAAGTGCATGATTAATGTCCTTCCCTCACCATCCTCGTCCTCATGCTCTGACCTCATGTTTCACTTCTCCTCGCTCTCTGTGTTCCAGCCCCCTGCCCTCTGACTGCTCTTGGGGCACATGAGTCTTGGCCTTTGCACCTACTTCTTCAGTCTGCCTGTTCTTTCCCAGTATGTGCACAACTCACGCCCTCACCTCTCCCAGGTCTTGTTTCAAATGTCACTGTCATAGGGACGCCTTCCCTGGCCACTCCACCTAAAGCTCCTCCTGCACCAGACACTTTCCATCTTTCTTTCCTGCCTTTTTTTTTCTCTTAAGCGTTTATGCTAGCCTATAAATATATACATTCTATACGTTTTATTTTTAGCTAGTTTTAGTGTGTGTTTCTCCAAGCAGAATAGAAAAACAGAGAGCAGAGGGGTTTTGCTTGTTTTCCCTGTTGCGTTAGGGCCTGGCACATGGTGTTTAATAGGGAGGTTTGAATGAATGGATACATGATTTGGGGCCAGGCTCTGTGCTGGCCCCTCATGATCAACCAAACATGCTTTCTTATTGCAAGGAGTTTATAGTCTGGTGGGAAAGACAGATATTAAGAAATCAAGACAAAATATGCTTCCTGCAGAGAGCTAGCTATGACAGCAGATGGCAGGGGAGCCTTAACCTGGTCTCCCTGCAGTAGGGACATTCAAGTTGAGACCTGAGCCTATGTGAAGTCAGAGACAAGAGAGAATATGGTGGGTTCTAGGTGGTTAATGACAGGTTGTGAGAAGAAAGAAGGGGCCATCGGTGCAATGAAGCTCAAGGTGGGGAGGGTTGGGTCGTGAAGGCCTCACCAGCAGTCTAGAGGAGACTGAGCAATGGGGAGCCACGCCAGGGTTTTAAGTAGGGAAATGACATGATCCATTGTAGCATTTTCACCGAATTTGAGAGAAGCAAGACACAAAGCTAAAATGAAGTAGACCTCAGTACGTGCAGACTGTCAAATCTGTCCCTAAGAAAACTGGTTGGCTCCAGACAAACAGGACTAGTAAACACAGCAGCACAATTTCTTGGAATCCTTACAGTTCTAGGAGCATGCTGAGCTCATTCCTGCCTCAGCACTTTCACCCACCATGTTCCCCTTATTGGAAACGTTCTTTTCATCTACCCAAAGCTGCCCACCTTCCCAAACACAGTTGCAAATGCACCTCTTGTGGAGAATCATTTCCTAGCTCCTTCTGTCCTCCTTGATATTTTCTTTCCTTTGATCTAAAGCACTGAGATATGCGCTACACAGTTTAGCTCTTAATGCTCTACTTTCTCAAATAACCGGATCCTTTATTACCCCAAGTAGAATGTCCTCTCCTTGCAAATGAGGACCCCATATCCTACCCCCCTTCTCCACACCTACCTACAAAAGGATGAGAACAAACTAGAGTCCTCCAAAATGTACCAGTTGATGTACGTCCAGATGATTGAATAGATACTGATAATTTGTAATCTTAGAATGACTCTTTATGGAGTCATAGTTTAGATATGAGGACATCTAGGCACCTATATGTAGGTCAGCAGGGAAAACCAGAGGGAAAAACTAAGCTTTAGAGGCATCATCTGACTATAATTTAGTTGAGTGTAATCAAAAAAAATAAAATTGGAAGGCCCGCTAAGATGACTGGGCACTTGTAAAGAGCAAAGGCCAACTAGCCAAAATTTAAAAGCAAGTCTCAAATCCCAACTGAGGCAATTGCAGCAAGAATATCCAGTAAGACCTAAAACCCAAAATTCGGTGAAGTTGGGCCAACTACATAATGACCGCAAACCTCAGTTCAGTTTTGATATCCAAGGTGATGGAGCGACACGTGTAGGAACACCTCTGTTTCTGGAGTAAGATGTCAGAGCATTTCTTTCTGTTGTTATATTGAGAATATGAACAGATTCATTAATGATTACTTCATTCATGTATGCTTCCGGTATCTTCTCAATGGCTCTTAAGGCCCATTGAGTGGATCAACATAAAACCGTGTCATATCTCTTGACTCCAGTTGAAAAATCCCAGTATTTTGCAGTAAACGATCTTTTCGTGAAGATTTAATGACGTTTCAGTTAGGCCTCCTTAAGAGTGACAATGAATGGGCTTCACACTGCTGACGGAGATCAAACAGTTTGTCAGACTGTTACAATATTGCTCAGACATAAAAGTTATTGCAGGCCTCTGTTGCCTCAACTAGACAGCAATTATCGCCGTTTTATTTTGTGTATCAGTTACAACATGATGGGGGTGCCAATCACACCACTCTGCTTACAGGTGTGTCAGCATTTCTATTCCCGGTCCTTATACTCCAGAGTTCCCAAGGTGGCCGTAAAAACTAACCAAGGAATGAATCCTGGCCCATAAAAGCCACTTCCCACAAGAAGTTTTGTAAAATACAAATGAGAAAAAAGCTCCACCTCTGTCATTCTTGCATCTCCCATGGGCCCCAAACACTTTTCCCTTATTTTTTTCCTTTCTCCAAGTAAATTGCACACCTCAAGGCCCTTGGCTCAGTTTTTAACCTGACTTGTCTAGGAAAAGGTAATCACTTGGAGTAAAAAGAATTAAGTTCTTTTGTGTTACCAAAAAAAAATTTTTTTTCCTTCAGTTATGATGGGAAGAGGGAAGCCTGGCTGGCACTGAAATCTCAAGTTTGAATTCAGAGCTACATTTCTGAGTGTAAACCAGGGGCTACTATTATAACTGTGCATTTAGTTGCTCTTTTTCCTTGAACAGTCTCTAAAATTTTAGGTAATGAAAAACTGAGATCTAAGATTCAATCTGTTTTTTTCCTGGCAACTCCAGTAACATATTTACGGACTGCAAACTGTGTGCCAGGTACTTTATAAATTAATGTATAAATTAAAATTAACTTACAAATATTAGGTCATTTAATACAATAACACTGCAAAGAGGGATCACTGCCTTCATTTTATAAGTGAGGAAACTAAAGCTCAGAACAGATAAGCAACTTGCCAGAGGTCACACGGTGGAGCTGGAACAAAACCCAAGCCCATGGGCAGAGGTGAAATCCTTGGGGATTTTCTATCATCATAACAGAGGCAGGTCATGCTAAAAAGTACCAATACTTCGGTGGAACAAGCCACTTACAGCTAAATATATATTCAAAAGTGCTTAATTGGGCTAACATAGAGTAAGTGTCTCAATAGTACCTACTAGGACTCTGCAGGGCTGGGCCTAAGAAACATTCAGATACACGCAGCCCCTCCACTTAGCATGCCCGTTTTTGCCCACATCGTGGAAATCTAGCAATTTCCCTAATGGTCTTAAATTCATTCAGAAGTTTTCTGTGAGAGTTCATGTATCCTGAGGGCTGGCGGGTAGCACTGACTCAAAGCTTGAAATGCTCTTGCTCTCAAAAAGGACTCTTATCCTGGGCTCTGGCCAAAGCTGGGCCAAGCGTGGTAGGTTAGCCTCATTCGATGTTCATGTGAGCTGAACTCATCCTCAGACAGCTGCTAGCTATAAAGTTTCATTTTGTCCAGATCCACTCCCAATATTGAGTAGTCAAAATCCGATTCACCAGTTTTTCACGCTTTCCAAAAATCACTTTCCCCTCTCATGGTTTGTAATTTTAATCGGAGGAGAAAGGAAGGGTGGGGGGGAGGGAGAGAGCAGGAGGGGGCAAAGGGGAAAAGATGTGATGCGTGAAAAGCATTTTTAAAACAATTATTGACCAAACAGGGATCTCAGCTACACAAGATCTGTTACCTCTTTCACCTCTTTTATATTTTTATCAGAAGCCCAACAGGCAAAGACCAAGTCAGCTTCAGTATTTGGCACGGAGCCCACTGCAATATTGATGACATGATCTCAATCATGATTGTATGTTACCCTCTTA